GCTGGTCAGTTTCAGCAGCGGCTGAATCTGGACGCCAGTTCCTACTTACATACAGATTCAACTTAAGAACAAACATACAGTCCCTATCTTGTACATAACCCGGGGACTGCCTGTACTCCTCTAACAGAGATAAAAATGTACTTGACTATGTTCCACAATACTTAAAATGATTTTTTTCAAGAAAAAAGACTTACTGTGTTGGTTTATTAGCATCCGGATGGATATACGATTCATGTAAAATCTATCTAAGAAATATTGAATATTTTGATTGGTGACTGGGTCCACACTAGAGGAATCTTGGTATTCAATTACTCCTTGCGCCATTGTAGGAACAACATCGTGGTGTCTATTTCGGACTGTAACAAGAGTATCTATAAAGCTAAATAATCACAAGACAAGTTCAGATAAATATTTAAGATGGAACAATGGCACGTGTCAAATTCTCTATAGCAGGATGTTAAGTTATGGCACAAAGAAACCCTAATTTAGTGAAAGTGTCTTATTTTAGATACAATTGCATGCGTGTGTGTGTCTTAAGGCCTCATAGAATAATTTTCAAATGAAGGACGTCATCGCTATCTTACATAGAAGAGCTTACCCTTTAAAAATATAGGGCTTGATTCACCAGTGCATTATTTCTGTTTTACATCAGAATAATTGAATGGTAAATCGGCTTCATAAGATGTCTGCACCTTTCTGATGATTTACACTTTGAAGGCCTTGTTACAGATGAAGTGCTAGAGCAGCAGTTGTGCCACCGCAGTGCTTCAGTGCAGATGATACTTAAACCAATAGGAGAGTGTCTCCCACAGTGCATATAATCCACCTTCCCAAGAGGTGGTAGGTAGGTTGACAGAAGAATTCTTCTACTGACAAAGTGCTGTCTACATGAAGTGTATATCTGGAAAAATCTGTTGCCAGAGAGGCACAATGTACCAATGTAGTATATCAATGTACAATTCAGAGTGTAAGTCAGGCCCAAGTCATTCTCTTCCCCTGGACCAGAAAAACTTCTGGCTAAAGTAGAATAGCAAGAATTTGCCGGACTTTGCCAAAAGCACATAATGGGACACTCTCTCCCCATACCTGTCCTTAAGTTTTCCCATGTCTAGTCACTTCCTGGGTCTTACTCAGATATACAATATTT